GAAGGGTGTTCGTCGAGTTTCTTCGATTACTCGATCGATCTCAGGTGCCGAACTGGTCGCCTGATGAAACTTCGACTTAATCTCATCAAGTTCTTGACGAACTTTGCGAAATCATCGGAGAGGATGACATCAGGTTCTTCCATAAGGAGTCCTTCGTCAATAGCAGGATTGCCCTGATTTTGGGGATTTTCATCCCTGGTTGGATTGGACCCATCTCCTACGGTAGTCTGATTGCTAGTACTAGCAAGACGGCCTGTAGGAGGAATTTGAGTGCTTCCGGATCTGTTTTGTGTGGGAGTCTGGAATAGCCTGCGCTGATACGCTGTCGTTTGCGCTGAGGACAAATTATCTAAACGGCTTGAAACAACGTTATGCGCGTTTGACAAATTTGTTTGAGTATTTTGAACACTCGCTAAGGTTTGCTCGATTGAGTTCAACCTTTCACTAAAAGTGGCGTTGGCACTAGCGAGTGTACCCATTTGATTGGTCAGATCGGTGGTTGACTGAGTAAGCAAGGAAATTGCATTGCTCAAAGCTTGCTGATCAGCCATAGTTTCTTGGTTTGGAAAAGAAAGACTCTGAGATTAAAGAGTTTTGCGGTAACTCCCCACAGACGGCGCCAAAATGTGGATGTAGGATTCACACTCGATTGTCTTTAAGTATTTTTGTGGAGAAAAACTCTAAAATCAACAAATGAAAATAAGGATTTGAAAAGGAAAGTGACCAAGAAACTAAATAAAGCGAAAGAGTTTGGCAAGAATAAAATAGTAAAAAGCCTTGCGAAATTGTAAAAGAAAGAGTATGTTGTATTGCTTGATGGTATGAGGTAAAAGGTTGTTCTCCCCCCAAACACATGCGTTTGAGGTTGTTTTTATAGAGAAAACATGATCAATGCGGTCATTTACTGCTCATAATCGCATTGATCCGCATTAATCATGTAGGTTACAATTTGACCGAAACGGCTTGAATTTGAATTATCTTGGGCTTCGCGTGGATCTTCCGAACTCTTTCTTGTTGACTCCGAACTCCAGCGTCTTGACGCTGCCGCGAACCTCGAATAATATTCTCCTCGCTTCGGCCTTCCTTTATGCGAACTATATGTTGAATAAGAGCGAACTCCGTACTGGTAAAGATCGAGCTCTTTAATAAACTGAATCGAACTTCCGACAGGTCGAGCTCGATTCTCGCAATGAAACATCTAGAAATCCAAGAGGATTATTATGTAAAAATGACGTGGACAGATCCAAGTGGATCCTACCGAAGATGTGTGGGATCCGACCCCAACATATTTTTAGGAGAATGAGAGTAAAGTTGCAAAAATTGGCGAGTTGGAGAGATTTTTTGCAAAAAATGCTTTATTCTATAGTGTAAATAAACGGGCATAGGCCTAAAGTTTTACAAAAAGCATGTTTGGGTCTGCAGGCTCTTAACCCCTTTTAACATTATTAGTAACTATATAGAGTACATCCATTATAAATTATAAATATAAATATAATTATATATAGATTAATAAAAATTATTTAACTAATCAATTTAATCACGTACGACCGTTTTCTATTTTTTCCTCTCGTGACCTAATCGTCGCCTCCTTCGTCTTTTCGTATTTGGCTGAATTTTGACCGGCGCGTGGTGGCTTACTTAGCTCCGGCGTCGGTCACGTTTCTCTTTTTCCCTTAGTTTTTGTTTCTGGTCTTTGTTTCCTTGGCGGTGTTTGCACGGTGGCTTTGGCGAGATGGTTTGGCCGTCTTTGATTCTCAGATCTGGTTAAAAGTGGCCTTTTGTCACCGGAAACTTTGGTCTATGGTCTGCTATTTGTGCGTTGGTGTGACTCATGGCGGGTTGGTCTTTGTCAAGTTGCAGGGACGAATCTGTTTCGGATCTGCCTCTTCGCTCATGATGGAAGCTTTGCGGTGGATCTCCTGATCGTGGTTTGTTTTGGTTCGAGGAGGGTGACGCCGGATTTATTCGATCTACGGGTCTCCTTACTTAAATTTCAAACCTTGTGTATGTGTACTGAATCGTTTTGTCTCCATGCCGTTTTGTGAATTGTCGTATCCGTTGGTTACATTTTCTCTTCAATTCTCTTTTGGGTCTTTGTCTTTGTGCCTTCATCGTTGGTTTCTTTGGTGCTGTCTTGGAATTGGATCTGTATTTGTGGTCTAGTTTGTTGTTCTCTTGCCTATTCTCTGTTCAGCTAAGTATGCTTGTTTATTGATCCGGTTCGCGTTCTTACCGCCTCCAGTTTTCGGTTTGATGCGGATGATTTTGGGTTCGGTCCTTGTCTCTACGGTCAAGACCTGATCGAGGTCTCTATTGCATTGTTATCTTTCTTGGCGTAATCATTTCGTGGTTATTTCGCTTGCCTCAAATTCGCCGTTCCAAGGAGTTGTGTTTGAGTTCTTGTTCTCTACTTGCTAGTAAATATGCTTTAGTTCTCTATAATTTGTGAGGTAGTTTTCATTGTTATAGGAGGAGCCGTTGTCCGGTGTCGTAGATTTTCTTGTCTCCATCGGTTAGCCACTACTTCAAGCTTTACTCTTTGTTGGTTTGATGGTAGGCAATGTGTGTTGTGCTAGATTCTGAGTTAGAGTTGTATTTCATGTTCTTTGTGCTTCGTTGCCTTCTTTGTTTTGGCATTGTTGTTCATTTCTAGTATTGTTGTTAGAATCCCACTTTTTGGGCTTAGTTTCCGAGGATATCCTGTTATCCGTCGGCTTAGTTTCCGGGGATGTGTTGTATCCGTTGGCTTAGTTTTCGGGATTATGTTTTTAATCGCCGACTTTGTAACTTGGTTCCTCTTTTATTAAACTTCTACCAGATGAAAAAAAAAATCAATTTAATCACTTTTTTTTTTTTGAATTTAATGTTAAATTATATTCAAAAGAAAAATAAACGTTTATACATATAGAATGCTAACTTTTTCAAAAACAAATTGAATAGAACTTTTTATCGTGTAAACTCTATTGCCTTGATTCAAACCAAACTTGGATGCCACCTTCAAATCTCAAGTCGCCACCTCCTTGGATAGTGCACAACCGGTTTCGGACATTTTTATCTATCATCTTCACAAGTACCTCTATCGATGAGGGCTGCTCTCCGTGCCTTCTTCTATTCCGTTCACACCAAATCGAATGTATGGAGTTCTGGAAAATATACCTTAGCAAGAAGCTCTTTGTTTTGTCAAGTACGTTTTCTGCTAGGATCTTCAATATCTCTCTCCAACACTCCGAGAATCTGTTTAAGAGGATCCCCTTTGCCAAAGTCCTCCAAATCTGTTTGGAGTAATGACATGTAAAGAATAGGTGTTCCCTTGTCTCCATCTGTACATTACAAAAAACACAACTTGGATTCACATTACTATTCCATTTCACCATTCTCTCCCCCGTTGAGATTCTGTTTTTCAACACCAGCCAAGTAAGAAATGCATATTTAGGAGTTGCGTAAGAGAACCATATCTCCTTATGTCCCTCCATCGGTGGCTTAGCAATACGTAGCAACGAGCATGTTTCTCCTGTTATAAACTTCTTACGAAAGCAGCCATTTTTCCCCTTCCACAATGCTATATCACGGTCCATTGTTCTCTGATTTAACCTTTGTTTTCGAATTTCTTCTTCCACCAGATTAAGGATATTTTGTCGATGGTTCCTTCTGCGGGTCATAGTCAGCACTTCCTTTACTGTACTTGATAAAGGAATCCCCAGGTCAATACAGCCCCGTTCCCCAAGCTTCTCCATGAGATAACCTAGGTTACTCCATGAATCATACCAAAAAGACGTGGTTACTCCAGGTTACATAACATATCAGGAGTTATCACTTTGTATTTTTTTAATTGTAATTTTTATTTTCGTTGTAATATGTTAAATTTGTTTAACTCTCTCATATAGAGTGTTCAAGAAAGCGCTAGACGCTAAGCGGACGGTGACCCAATGCCTAGCGCCTAGAATGCCTAATCGGGGCCTAGGCGATTTTTTAGGCGGATTAGACGTTTATAACAGAAAACATTATAAATATGATATTATATATAAAAGTTATATAAAATATCTATATAAAACTAAAAATTATGAAATTATAAATAAAAACTAGATAAAACATTTATTTATAACAATATATGAATATTTATAACTATATATATAAATAAAACTCTAATTGAAATTGAAAAAATACATTAAACAAAATCTATGTAATTTTAGACGATCAAAGCGGTTATTTAGACGTCGCATAAGAGCGTAGCGTCTAGTTGGGGCCTAGCCGATCGCCTAGACCGCTTTTTAGAACACTATTATGGACATATTTTTGTGTTTGAAAACGTGGAAAAGTAATCATATTACTTCTGAACTTTCTAATAACGTTTAGGAAACTCAAATTCATATTAAACTAAATGGACAAAAAAAAAAAAAAAAAACTCAACTGACTTAAATGGATAGAATTAAACGGGTAGGACGTTAACATACGGAGCCCTAAACGGACGGATTTGTCTGTTTTAACATCACTAGCTAATTGGTTTGCAACTAATGAATCGAATCATTTTAAGTCGAAATTCGGTTAAATTGATCTTGTCCTCGAAGTATAAACATTTGTGACAAGCCAACAGGATCAAAGAAATCCCATTAACATCTAAACCAAACAAATTTTATATCTTTTGCTTTAAACGCCAAACAAAACATGTTTAAAATAATAAATTCATTTGCATAAGTAAAACACTTCTAAATTTAGTAATCAAACAACACTTAACAAAAAAAAAAATGGGAATCATTCAAGATACTTATTTGTGATTTCTGGTTTATACATAAAACGACATATTACGAAAGTACCCATATGATGGATTTATTGATATGGGTCATCAGTGAAACAGGCACAGAGAGACAAAGACTCGTAAGTATTGGCAACGAAAGCGACCTCCTTTATTCACCACTGCCATTAACATGTTCTTCTACTTCTTCTTCTTCAACATTTATGACCATTTTACCCCTCAAGAGAGAGAAATATGCAAAAACTAAGTCTCTCTCTCTTCTGCAAAGCTTCAGAACTCTGGCAGAGAGATAAAAGATGATGGGGTTTTTAACTTTATCCTCCCCAAATAATTCTTCTTCCCTTCGTCTCCTCTCTTACACAACAGTCCCTACATTTGTCCAATTTCCTCTCTTTAAACCTCATTTAAAGACTCTCTCTTTCTCTTTCTCTCTCCATCTCTATCTTACTCTGTATTTCTGTCGTCTGAGCACTCAATGAAACCACTGTAAATTTCCGCCAGAAAATGATGTGATGGAACGATAAAAATCAATACTTTTTCTTCTCGGTTAAAGTAAAAAAAAGAAAACAAATTTGAGTAGAAATCATAAAAAAAATCTAATGTCGGTACATAATTTGGTTCTCTTCTTCTCTATCCTCTGTTTCTTCTTCTTCATGGAGACTTAAAAGCTTTTTTTAGTGTATCGAAAACGCAGTCGTTTTGAGACTGTGTCTGAGAGAAAATGGCTCTGTTTCGAGATGTTGTTCTTTTGGGTTTTCTTATCTGTTTGAGCTTAGTGGCTACTGTGAATTCTGACGAGGGTAAGTTATTATACTGATGCATGTTTCTTTAAGTTCAAGATTTCGTCTTTTGGTTGAGTAAGAAAATGGATTTTTTTGAAGTGGAAGAAACTAAAAAGATGAGATTTTTATATGCTTTTGAAGTTTCTTAAAGAGTTTTGAGGTGAAAATGAGATCTGGGTACTTGTAATGGTTTTTTTTTTTTTTTTTTTTAACTTTGTGGGTCTTCTATAGAATCAAAGAAGCTTTGAATAAATTAGGGTTTGAGTTTATTTTTGTTTTCTTGGAAGTTGAATTTTTAAGGACTTTTATTTTTCTTCTTCTCAAGAACTGACAAATATTTGTTTTTGTTTGTGCGTGTGTTAATAAAATATCCTTTTAAAAAAAGGAGCAACGTTGCTGGAGATTAAGAAGTCATTCAAAGATGTGAACAATGTTCTTTATGACTGGACAGCTTCACCTTCTTCGGACTATTGTGTATGGAGAGGTGTGACTTGTGAAAATGTCACCTTCAATGTTGTTGCTCTGTAAGTTTCATCCTTAAGTTTATTACAAGGGTTTTTGGTGTGCTTGTGGAAAAAGTTGTAATTTGTTTTGTGTGTGTTTGTATGTTTTGTAGTAATTTGTCAGATTTGAATCTTGATGGAGAAATCTCACCTGCTATTGGAGATCTCAAGAGTCTCTTGTCAATGTAACTGTTTCAACATTCACTGTAGCATGAGATAAAGTATCTTACTTTATTCCACTCTCTAATTTGTGACTTTTGTCTTCTGGTTTTTCTAATGTAGTGATCTGCGAGGTAATCGTTTGTCTGGGCAAATTCCTGATGAGATTGGAGACTGTTCTTCTTTGCAAAACTTGTAAGAACCATGATAAGTGTTACTACCATTAATTTTGATCTTAGAAGTTCAGTGGATGATGTTGTTTTTTATTCAGGGACTTGTCCTTCAATGAATTAAGTGGTGACATACCGTTTTCGATTTCGAAGTTGAAGCAACTTGAGCAGCTGTAAGTAGCTAGTTATTCTACACCAGTCTTCATATGTTATTTGCTAAATATACTCACTATGAGGAATATGGATTTTACTTTTTACAGGATTCTGAAGAATAACCAATTGATAGGACCGATCCCTTCAACGCTTTCGCAGATTCCAAACCTGAAAATTCTGTATGTTCCTTTTAATCCTTACATGTCTACTACTTTTAGCCATATAGATGATCAAAATGTGAAATTTCGATTGCAGGGACCTGGCACAGAATAAACTCAGTGGTGAGATACCAAGACTTATATACTGGAATGAAGTTCTTCAGTATCTGTAAGTGTCAATGTTTTTTGAAGTATGTCAATGTCTCTTCATTACCTGGTGATAATTGTTGTAATATGATGAACAGTGGGTTGCGAGGAAACAACTTGGTCGGTAACATTTCTCCAGATTTGTGTCAGCTGACAGGTCTTTGGTATTTGTAAGTCTATGATACTCTTCTTGCACATCTGAATAGTATGATGAGTTCTTTCCCCAATATGAAACTTCTGAATTTGTTTTTCTGTATTGAATCAGTGACGTGAGAAACAACAGTTTGACTGGTAGTATCCCTGAGACGATAGGAAATTGCACTGCCTTCCAGGTTTTGTATGTGCCTCTCTCTCTACTTCTATACATCCTTATTCTAGTTTGGTTACTTGGGAAAATCTACTTAATGATTTGCTTATTATGTACTCAGGGACTTGTCCTACAATCAGCTAACTGGTGAGATCCCTTTTGACATCGGCTTCCTGCAAGTTGCAACATTGTTAGTCCTAACCTCTCTACTGTTACCATATCGTCGTGATCTGCGAAAATCTTTTGCTTTAAATTTTGGCTAGCCTTTGTTTTCTTTTAAGAAGATCATTTTATTATCTTAGATCATTGCAAGGCAATCAGCTTTCTGGGAAGATTCCATCAGTGATTGGTCTCATGCAAGCCCTTGCAGTGTTGTAAGTAATTTTCTTCTAATCAACGAAGCTACTTATAACATTTTCATGAACTTAAAGGTTCCGGTTTGTTTCTTTTTTCAGAGATCTAAGTGGCAACTTGTTGAGTGGACCTATTCCTCCGATTTTGGGAAATCTGACTTTCACCGAGAAATTGTAATTCTGTACCTTGATATTTCCTTCATTATATATTGTGTGGAAGTTCAAATGGAAAATTAAACATTGACGTCTATAAAGAATGGGGTTGCAATGCATAAGGCTTTTCATTACTATATATGGAAGTCTAATGACTCATTAGAGTTTAGTTTTCAGTTTGAAGCCATGTGTGATTCATACCATGTAAATGATAATGATTATGATTTTGGCTTTATCTCTATTCTCTAGGTATTTGCACAGTAACAAGCTGACTGGTTCAATTCCGCCTGAGCTTGGAAACATGTCAAAACTCCATTACCTGTATGACCAACCTTCTCTTTACTTCTCTTTTCGCAGTCAGTCACTGCTAAGTTGTGTTTCATTATCAACTATTTGTACAATTTCAACAGGGAACTCAACGATAATCATCTCACGGGTCATATACCACCGGAGCTTGGAAAGCTTACTGACTTGTTTGATCTGTAAGTAGCTCTTCCTATGCTTGACATGTTTTGATGTACTTATATTGATGTGAACTATTTACCTATAGGAATGTGGCCAACAATGATCTTGAAGGACCTATACCTGATCATCTGAGCTCCTGCACAAACCTAAATAGCTTGTACGTATCTCTTTCTCTTAAAACTGCACACTGGAATGTTCAAAATTCTTGCTTCTTTATGATTATTGTCTCATTATTGCAACTGTAGAAATGTTCACGGGAACAAGTTTAGCGGCACCATACCTCGAGCATTTCAAAAGCTAGAGAGCATGACTTACCTGTAAGTATTGGCGCTGAGAATCTTTCTGATACCTTAATGTATGATATAGTTCTGCAGCTTTTGTTTTTAGATTTTAAAGCCATTAACTACCAAGTTTTTTATTGCTTTTGATTTATCGGTTCAACCAGTAATCTGTCCAACAACAATATCAAAGGTCCAATCCCGGTTGAGCTATCTCGTATCGGTAACTTAGATACATTGTGAGTGTTTCTTGTTTTCTGTAAAGTATACATCTTTCTATTTGCCTTGTCCCACAGATATTAATTTTCTGATATTTGAAGGGATCTTTCCAACAACAAGATAAATGGCATCATTCCTTCTTCCCTTGGTGATTTGGAGCATCTTCTCAAGATGTGAGCATCCATACGACCTCCAATTCATTGTTTTGTTCTAGTAAAAGATGAAAATGGATTGTGAAATCTTGCATTCTTGTTTTAGGAACTTGAGCAGAAATCATATAACCGGTGTAGTTCCAGGCGACTTTGGAAATCTAAGAAGCATCATGGAAATGTAAGAAGTATCTTCTATTTCCTTGGTTAGAGTTTTTCCAAATATCGCATTACCGTTCTGAATTTGTGTTTTGTGGTTGCAGAGATCTTTCAAATAATGATATCTCGGGCCCAATTCCAGAAGAGCTTAATCAATTGCAGAATATTGTTTTGCTGTAAGCAATCTTCTTCTTACCCCTCCAAAGCTGTTGAGAAATAGTTTGTGTTAAATGATAGTAAAATAAAGATAAATATCTGAACATAATTGATGTGGTCACTATGTGTGATCCAGCGACAGATATTGGGTTGGTGATTTATCCAATGTTGTGTTTCTTAAAATTTCTTGCAGGAGACTGGAAAATAATAACTTAACTGGTAATGTTGGTTCATTAGCCAACTGCCTCAGCCTGACTGTATTGTAAGTAGATACAATTGGTTCTGTAACACTTTTTGTCTCTTTGTGTGCATCTTGTGCTTAGAATCTAACCTGTAATCTTGACTAACTTTTATAGGAATGTATCTCACAACAACCTTGTAGGCGATATCCCTAAGAACAATAACTTCTCAAGATTTTCACCAGACAGGTATAATAATTTAGTTTTGGTATTTTGTTTTGCTGGCTAATGTTTGTTTGATCTCTGTTTTTTTTGGTTTTGGATAAAGCTTCATTGGCAATCCTGGTCTTTGCGGTAGTTGGCTAAACTCACCCTGTCATGATTCTCGTCCAACTGTACGAGGTGATTACATTCTTCTAAAAGCTTCCATTCACATAACCTAAGATAATAGAAGCTTATGTTTCTATCCTTGTTTTGTCTGCAGTGTCAATCTCTAGAGCAGCTATTCTTGGAATAGCTATTGGGGGACTTGTGATCCTTCTCATGGTCTTAATAGCAGCTTGCCAGCCGCATAATCCTCCTCCAGTTCTTGATGGATCACTTGACAAACCAGGTTTACTCTCCAAACCACTTTACAAATGTTCTTCAACTACTACTAATGTAACCCAATAGCTAATCCTTAAACTTCTTGGTGACATCAGTAACCTATTCAACCCCGAAGCTCGTCATCCTTCATATGAACATGGCACTCCACGTTTACGAGGATATCATGAGAATGACTGAGAATCTGAGTGAGAAGTACATCATTGGGCATGGAGCATCAAGCACTGTATACAAATGTGTTTTGAAGAACTGCAAACCGGTAGCAATTAAGCGGCTTTACTCTCACAACCCACAGTCAATGAAACAATTTGAGACCGAACTCGAGATGCTAAGTAGCATCAAGCACAGAAATCTTGTGAGCCTACAAGCCTATTCTCTCTCTCCATTGGGGAGTCTCCTGTTCTATGACTATTTGGAAAATGGTAGCCTCTGGGATCTTCTTCACGGTAAGTCTCATTGCCCTAAAAACAAACTTCATTTGTTTCTTCTGTTACATAACATATTTTCTTGTGTGTTTGTAAAGGCCCTACGAAGAAAAAGACTCTTGATTGGGACACACGGCTTAAGATAGCATATGGTGCAGCACAAGGTTTAGCTTATCTACACCATGACTGTAGTCCAAGGATCATTCACAGAGACGTTAAGTCGTCCAACATTCTCTTGGACAAAGACTTAGAGGCTCGTTTAACAGATTTCGGAATCGCGAAAAGCTTGTGTGTGTCAAAGTCACATACTTCAACTTACGTAATGGGCACGATTGGTTACATAGACCCCGAGTATGCTCGCACTTCACGTCTCACTGAGAAATCCGATGTCTACAGTTATGGAATAGTGCTGCTTGAGTTGTTAACCCGAAGGAAAGCCGTCGATGACGAATCCAATCTCCACCATCTGGTTTGTCCTTTCTTGCCTCTCTTTCTCTCAGCATGCCAATCTGTTTTCTTGTTATAATTTTTCGGGTTTTTGGTTGAGTCTAATATATCATTATGTTCCAAAGAAGCTTTGGTGGTTATACATTGGTGTTTTCTTTTATGGTTTGGTTTGGATTTGGATTCGATTTTCGGATCAAGTATTTTGGCTTGAATCGGTTTATCTGAATTAAACACCCGTAAATTTTTGTGTTTGGTTAAAAGTATTTTCTGATTTGGTTCGACATTTAGCATGAAAATGTTGTAATGTTTTAGTTTCGATCTGAGGAACTTCGGCTTGGTTCGGTAAGTTTTTTGTGTTGTAATCTTGTTTTCATTGATTCACTTGCACATTAGATAATGTCAAAGACGGGGAACAATGAAGTGATGGAGATGGCAGATCCAGACATCACATCGACGTGTAAGGATCTCGGTGTGGTGAAGAAAGTTTTCCAACTGGCACTTCTATGCACCAAAAGACAACCTAATGATCGACCCACAATGCACCAAGTGACTCGTGTCCTCGGCAGCTTCATGTTGTCGGAACAACCACCTGCTGCGACAGACACCTCAGCAACGCTGGCTGGTTCGTGCTACGTCGATGAGTATGCAAATCTCAAGACTCCTCATTCTGTCAATTGCTCTTCCATGAGTGCTTCTGATGCTCAGCTGTTTCTTCGGTTTGGACAAGTTATTTCTCAGAACAGTGAGTAGTGTCAATTACTTTTTTCTTAGGAGGAGAATCTTTAAAACGGTATCGTTTTGTTGCGTTAAGCAGGCTGTTAGAAAATTAATGTCTCATGTAAAAAAATTATGCACTGCCTTGTTATTATTAGACAAGTGTGTGAATATATCCTCAGACTGGCACTTAGACTTCCTATTTTCTATCTAAATTTCTGTTTCGGAATGATTTATAAGTTCTATCCTATTTCCTATTTGTAATTTCAAAAATCCTACCAAAAAAGAAAAAACAAAATGCCTTGAACTCTAAAAATTAGGTTATTCTTTGAACTTATCTTAGATTTAGTGCTATTTTTACTTCTTTATATTTAACAGCTAAAAATAGAAGACAATCTGATCATTTATTTATTTATGAAAACGAATTTACATAAAATTAGTTAAAGTTTAGAAATAGATAATCATAGTGTCACATGTAAGTAATCTTGTTTTGTGCTTGGTAACCATATATATACTGTTAGATTAAAAGTCAAAGAAACATAATCAAGAGTCACATACACTTGTGTGTCATAAAGAAAGAAATATATATTGTTTGTCTTAGGCCTGGGCAATCGGAATAAACCGAATTAACCGAACCGAACAAACCGATTTTTTCGGTTTTCGGCACTGATAAGAAAGGAAAGGCTAAACCGATCGGCAGAATTATAATTAGACTTCGGTTCTCGGTTCGGTTCGGTTCGGCAGACGGTAACCGATCGGTTTTCTCGGTTAATAGACACCCATATAAAAAACAAAAACCCTAGATCTATTTTCTATAGCTTCTTCCTGTCCATCTCCTTTCTTCTTTTCTCCTTCGATCTCTTCTCATTCCTTCGTTAACTTTATAGCTTCTTCTTCTTCTTCTCCATCTCTTTTCTTCTCTTCTTCTTCCTCAGCCTCGACATCAATCCATGGCAAGTGTTATTCAAGAGAGATTTGAAACGTTGTTGGCCTTATCATCCTAACCCATGGCTATTTTGAATCATTCTCTCCGACATCGAGTCTGTGGTTCAGATTCGAAATGTTTTGGCCGTTTATCGCTGGCGTCGCCGTTACGCTCCTCCTCGTCACCAAACACACGGCATGTAAAACTTCAGATCTAATCGATTTTCAATTTTGTTTTTCTTTTCCTATTTTCTCAATTTTAGATATTGGATTCTTACTGCATGTGATTTTGACGATGGTATGATAGCTTTCGTTGAGGGTTTATTCGGAGAGATCGCATTGTTTGATGACACCGCCATCTCGTCGCCGTCACTGTCACAGCGGAGAAAGAGAGTAGCGGCGAGTCTATCAACCCTAATTTTTTTTTGAACTTGGGTTTTAGTTTTATTTGGGCTTAACTCTGTAATTAGTCATGGCCCATTATTTTACTCGTTTGTAACCGTAAAATTTTGCTTATTAAAAGCCCATTATCTTTATTTTGGTCTAATTTGGTTCGAATTAACCGAATTGGAAAAAATTTCGGTTTATTTCGGAATTGATTTTTTGGCCTATAACCGAACCGAACAAACCGAGTACCGACCGAACCGAACCGAATTTTTATTCGGTTCAATTCGGCAGAAATTTTAAAAACCGAAAAACCCGAAAAACCGAATAAACCGAACCGAACAAACCGATAAAACCGATTGCCCAGGCCTAGTTTGTCTTGTGAAATGCTAATGCAATCAATTGAATCCTAATCCTCATTTGGTTGGAGACCAACATCTTTCAAATATGCATCCTCATTGTTCTTCGGACACTACTTTCTTAGGCAAGCAAAGTAATTTTTGGATCGTAAGCTAAAAAAGATACTGTCCATTCTCGTTTGGAAGTCTTCCATTTAATCGATATGGCTGGAGTGACATCCTCGAATTCATCGCCAAACTACCCGATGAGTCGATGCAACTATTCCTGTAAAACAAAACATCTAAGTTTCGAAGATCAAAATTGTCTCTTGTCTATAATCTTTTTCAACTTTTGTTTGGTGGCTAAACATTGTGTGTACTACTACATCTTAGTTTGTGCCTTATATATTTCATTATCAATTGATCTCCTTACATATAAAGATATTCGAAATGAAGACAAAACTCAAGTGGTTGTTTTACGATTATCTACCCAACTCATTCATTCGTGGGTTATGATTTATTTCGTTCAAGTATTGTTTCTTGATCTAATTCTTCTATTGAGTGAGACTTAGTTTATGCTTCCTTTTCAGAGCTTCGTGTTAAATATATATGTAGTAGGATTTGAAAATTTACTCAACTACAACATCCAGACCTTAAGATTTGTATGTTGTTATATCATAACATCACATCGAACATATATGTTAAGTGGAAGTCTTCTATCGGTTCCATAAAGTGAATAACCTTGTTTTGTGCTAGGTCATCATATACTGTTATGATTATTTCATTTGGGCTATGTGTAGTTTGATTCAACTAGATTTAGATTTAAAGTCAAAAGGAACATAATCAAGACTCAAGTACACTTGTGTGGCACAAAAAAAACACATTGTAACTTTGTTTTGTGCTAGGTGATCATATAATGTTATGATTATTTAATTTTGGGCTATGTGTATTTTGATCCACCTAGATTAGATTAAAGTAAAAAAAAAAAAAAAATCAAGACTCACATACACTTGTGTGACACACAAAAAACATACATTGTTTGTCTTGTGAAATACTAATATAATGTAATCATATGGATACTAATGCTCATTTGGTTCGTGACCAACATCTCTCAAATACAACATGCATCCTCATTGTTCTTGGGACACTACTTTCTTAGACATGCAAAGTAATTTTTGGATCGTAAGCTAAAAAGTATATAGTCAATTCTCGTTTGGAAGTCTTTCATTTAATCGATATGGCTGGAGCGATATCCTCCATTCCATCGCCAAACCTCTCGATCGATGCAACTATTCACATATAACAAAACATCTAAGTTTGGAGGATCTAAATATTCTCGTGTCTATAATCTTTCTTATAACACCCCGATTTCATGAAGATGGTGAGGCATGCGTAAAGGTTAAAAGAATTGATTTGACCACCTATGTCACCAAAATGCACTTTTCTTTCCGGTCAACTGTCCTGAGAGAATTCCACAGATAAGTGTGCTTGGGTTAGAGCAATTTCAGGATGGGTGACCTTCCGGGAAGTGATTATCTGAACCGGGTGAGTAAGGACAAAACACGTGGAAAGATCATGTCGTTATTTGTATGATCGGTAAACAAAGTCTTTAAAGCCTTCCAGACGTAGCAGACCGACCGCCAGACAGGGATGGAGCCCACGGGTCCGATAAAGGATGTGAGTGCTCACTGATAAAGATGTCGGGGCGTTACATTTTTCATTTTGGCTTGGTGGTTAAACAATGAGTACTAAACCTTGGTCAGTGCCTTATAATATCTTTAGCCGTTGATCTCTAGATCTTTCCATCTAAAGATTCTCGAACTGAAGACAAAACTCGTGTGGTTGGTACGATTATCTACCGTACCCATTCATTCGTGGGTGAGACTAAGTTTCTTGATCTATATCTTCTATTGGGTGAGACTAAGTTTATGCTTAGTTTTTTTTTTTTTGCAAAGTTTATGCTTAGTTTATTCTTCCTTTTAAGAGTTTTGTTTCAAAGTATGTGGTTGAACTGAGCTATATATCTAACAAAGTTTAGTTCTCGTGCTTTAAATATAAAACTCTAACAAAAAATACTTCTTTGTAAATTGAAAGCAAGAAAATGAATTTCAATATTTTGAATTTCACTTTTACAGTTTTTATTTAGAATGACTTTTCTTCATTTACAAGATAAAAGAAAAATGAAGAAGCGGTGATATTTCAATTGTTATGGAATTTAATTTTCTTAAAAATAATTAGCCAACCTTAAAAAAAACGGAATTTAGTTTCACAAGGCCTTTGTAAATTAGGGGTAATTCTCAACTAATTTCTTTTAGATTTAGTTCTACTTACACTGTTTTTATAGTCAACCAATAAAAATGGAAGGCAATCTGTTCATTATTTATGAAAATTAATTAAAGTTTAAAGATATATCATCATAGTGTTATACTAATCATGATTATTTTAATTTTTTTGCTATGAATATTTTAATCCAACTAAATTTAGAAAAGTTAAAATGAGCATAACAATTAAGATTAACCTTCTACTTGTGTGTCAAGCAGAAAAAAAAAAAATTGTTTGTCTTGTGGAATACTAATGACATCAATTAAAATCTATGAAACCAAATCTAGAACTTTCAAAGATAATAATAGCTATTAAATAACACATTAATCTAATTAAGATTCTTCTCTAGTCTCATCCTTAATTACCCCTAAGATAAACTTCCTCTAAACCTTATTATATAAAGGGGATATGGGGGGAACACTCAAGAAAAAAATATTAATTGTAGAAAATATGGGGAGGAAGAAAATAAAATTGAATAGAATAGAAAGCCTAAAAGAGAGAAGTAGCAAATACTCAAAACGTAAACAAGGGCTTTTCAAGAAGGCAGAAGAAGTAGCATTGTTATGCGATTGTGAAGTCATTTTGATTGTTGTTTCTCCGACGGATAAGCCTACCCTTTTCCACACCCGTTCTAAGTATAAATTATTTGAACAGAAGTTCTAAAAAAAAATATATATTGTTGTGTTTATGGTTTTTTTTTTTTTTGTTAATAGATCACTTCTACATTTAGATCCATAAGCCAATTATTAATTCATCAACTTACAATAACGCGCTAAATGATCATAGATATCTCAATTATTTTCCACTGGATCTTGTTTTTTCCATAAAATAGTTTTGAAACGATTATAATCTAGGTTCACTTTTTTTTTTAACTACTAAGGAGTGACATGCTAACATGCACTAGTCGACTACATGTCTAGTAGGAAGTGGTATCATAGAATCGTTAATTTGTTGCTTATGAATTGAAATTACCAATATTTGCTTAAAACTATGCTTTTGAAATTGTAGGTCCTTCAATAAAATCTATGAGAGATATTGCATGCTTTCATTACAAGAACGGGAAGAAAGGTGTGATTTTTCAGATTTTATATTATTATTACATAAGTACATTGGCATGGTTTTGGTTTTATACATTGGCTGACTTTGGTGTTTTATGTATGCATTCAGGAGAGCCTACACAATAAAGGTTTGATTTATTCATCACTTTACATTTATCAATTAAAGTTTGAGTTTTCACACGCCAATATCTTTCTCACGATTAGTTGGATATATGGTTTTCACAATAGTTTAAGCATAAAAGATGTATACTTATTTTCATAGTTTATTGGTGCTATATTCAAATCTAAGTTTATGTGATTGATATTATTAGTTTTCAATAAAAAATAACACCAAAAATTAAAATTATCAGAATATTAAAAAATTTAGCCAACTAAAGCTAATAACGAACAACTAAGTAAATTTTCTCTTCTTTTTTTTTTTGTATGAAACGTTTGTTTATTTATTTATTTTTTACATGTATATATAGACGCTGATAAAATTATTGAACAAGAACAATCCAGAAGTGACTATAGAAAATGATCAATCTTTTGCTGAAAGTGACCAATTTTCGCCTGAAAATGATCAATTTTCGCTTGAAAATGATCAATTTTTGCCAGAAAGGTATAATTTTGTTTATATTCAAACACATGCTTATAGATTATTCAACATACTAGATCTAATTTGGATATATTTATTGCAGAAGTGAAGAGATTCAGGTACGAAATTATTTCTTAAAAAATATTTTGTTTCCTTTTAATAAATGTTTATTTAATACTATAATTAATGAAATTTAGGATGATAATAAGGTCACTAAACTGAGAGAACTCAAGGAATTGTATGATGAGAAGAAGTTAATTTTGAGGTAATGATTAAGAAAAACACTAATGAAGATTCAATAAATCATTTTTATTAATTTTCTAATTAATTTTAGTTTTTTTTTTTATTAAGTTTTGCTAAACCTATTATTTATTAATTGATAAGAAACTGGGAAAGTCCGAATGAAGTTATTGATTTGAACGGACTCAATATCATGGAAGACTATTTAGTTACTTCTCTCAACCATATCAGAAATGTCATAAAGGTAATTGCATATTAACATATAATAAATAAGATTTATTCTAAAAATCAAATGTGATTGGAATTTTGCAAAACAATTATATCTTGTTTCAGGTTAAGATCCGAGAAGAGCAACAAAACTCTTATATGATTTAAAATGGAGAGTTTATTATGTATTTTGGAGATTGGAGATCATAGGAAATAATGTTATGTTCTTTTTTCTTTCAAATGATTCATATGTGATATGTTAATTTTTCTTTTTACCATTTATAGTGCAATACTATTTGTGATTTTTTCGGACCATTTTCTTGAGAGTTGCACACTGTATGATTAGTCTGTTTGTAAAAAAGAAAATAAAAGGAAACCAAAAATGGGTTAAAAGATAAGGGATATTTCTT